ATGGACAGAGCACTGGGCCCGGTATCAGGAAGACCTGAGTTCAATTCTGACCTCAGACATTTACTAGCTGTGTGACTCTGGGCAAGTCATTTAACTCTGTTGGCCTCTGTTTCCTCAACTGTAAAATGGGGTTAATAACAGCACCCAGGGTTGTTGTGAGAATTAATTAGATAATATTTGTAAAATGCTTAGCAAAGAGTCTGGCACATAGTAGGTACTATAAAAATATTTGTTCCTCTCCCCCTGTGCAAGACACTGGGATTACTGAGATTATGATTTAGGATCATAGGGACAGTTGATCAAGTCAATTTACATATAAGGAAACTGAGGTCCAGAAAGGATAGATGACTTGGTCATACTCACATAGGGAGGAAGGAGATGAGTCTGAGTTCTAACTGTGTCTCTTTGGCTTCTTACAGGGACACAGCCCCCCGGGAGGGCATCCAGGGCATCCACCTGGCCATGGCCCTGACAAACACCCACCTGGTCCTGGAGGGCCCCCCCATGTAAAGCACCCACCTGGTCCTGGAAAGCACCCACCTGGTCCTGGAGGGCCTCCCCCTCCAGGGCCTCCAGGACCTCATGGTCCACCTCACTAAAGAAGCAGTGCAAAAAGGCAATGAGACCAAGGAACCACTTTTGCCAGCCTGGCATAGGGCAATATCACCAGTCTATTCTGCTTAATAAACAATCTCGTGGAGGCAAAGGCATATGATCAAAAGAAGTCTTTTCCTTGGTCCACCATGCCCAATATCCTTCCTGGGCCAGGGAGTCTCTCCATCTCCTTATTTCTCTTGAAAAATGTACCAGGAGAAACCCAGCACTTGCCCCTGAACTAACCCCCAGTGTTTTTGTAAGTCATTCAGACAGCCTTCTTACAAAAAAAAAATTTTTTTTGTCTGAGTTATAGCTTAAAAGACAATGTAGTCTCATTTGTTCACTGAGTTACATGGAATCAGTCACTTCCTCTGCCACTGCTGTCCCTCTAGTCTAAACCTTATTCAACACATTATTGCCAGGTTAACCTTACTAAAACATCACTCTTCGTGTGTCATATCCCTTCCCCTTCAAAAGTCTCTAACGGTTTCTATCAATGAAAATACAAACACTTTACCTTTATTTTTAAAAATTTTTTAAATGTTTATTGACATCTTTTGTTTTTATTTTGTTGCCCAAATATATTACTCCTTCTTCTCTTCCTAGTGAGCCATGTCTTAAAACAAAGAACAAAGAAAGAAAAATAAGTTAAGCAAAACTAACTAGCACTTTCACTCAATCCAACAATATCAGTCAGTTACTCAATAAACATTATTAAGTACCTACTATGTCCCCAGCATGGTGCTAAATGCTGGGGATACAAATACAAAAAAGAAAGATAGTTCCTGCCCTCGAGGAGCTTACAATCTAATGGGGGAAGACAAAACACAAAAAAGAAACTTAAAAGGAAGGTGGGAGAGAGGAAGGTACCCAAAGAAGGGGCCTGGTGGAAAAGTCAGTGAAGTCCCAAAATAGTTCAGTCAGGTGGGAAATAAGAGAGAAATATAAAAAAATCCCTAGGTTCCTATCTCTGCAAAGAATGGATGTAGATCAACATCTGATTCTTAGAGAAAGGGTAGATTAGATCCTATGCCTTAAAATTCTGTAGTAAAAGTGACTGGAAGAAGGATGGAAAACTCTCATAAATGAAAACTTAAACACACAAAAGCAAAAGATTCCAAACAGGGAGAAAATAAGAAGGAAGCTATCTGAAGAAACCAGTGTACATGCATTAAAAAAAAATCCTATCAATCAGTTTAGATATAATAAAATTTATAATAACAATAACACCTCACATTTATGCAATGCTTGAAGGTTTGCAAAGGGCTTTACATACACCTTCTTTTGCTCCTCACAACAGCTCTGGGAAGTTGACTCTATTTAATATTCCCATTTTGCAAATTGGAAAATAAGCTGAGAGAGGTTAAGTGACTTGCCCCAGATCACATAGCTACTAAATGTCTAAGATAAGATTCAAACCCACTTCTTCCTGGGCACTCACCAATACCCATCTATGATGCAAGAGCATATAATAGGGAATTGATATAAGAGAGTAGCATTGTCTTTTAACATCTGGAGGGCAAAAGCTCAGAACAAGCCAAAGCTCATAATGAAAGCAAAAGACAGCAACCAAAAAAAAAAGCATTTGCAGGAGGTCAAGGAAAAGATCAAAGAAGATCCTTGGAGATGATGGGACTGATTACAGATGATTAAGAAAAGGCCAAAGTATGCTACTCTTAACTTTGTTTCTATTCTCTTTGAGGACGGGTTTAACCTTTGGACAGGGATAGATATATGTAAAAACAAAACAAAACAAAACAAAACAAAAAAAACCAACCAACTGTTTAGGGAATTAAAGCCCAAGATAATTCAGGAGATAGTAAAAGATCACTTAGTTGTTTTCAATGAGTTTAAGCTACAAGACCCAGATGAACCATATCCTAAGGTCCTGAAGAACTGGAGGATGTGACTGCTGAGCCACTGTTTGAAAAATTGTGGCAAATATGTAAGGAGCTTCAGGACTGGAGCCTGGCAAATGTTGACTTGGCTTTCAAAAAAAAGAAAAAGGGTGGAACATTCACTCTATAGACCAATGAGCTTGAAGTCCACTTCTCACAAGTTCCCAAAATATATTAATCAATGAAAGATTGTGAGCATTTAGAAAAAGAAGCAGTGATTATCAAGAATCAGCATGGTTTTTATCAAGAACAGGTCATGCCAAAATAACTTCATTTACTTTTTTATAAGATTACTAGACTAGTAAATCAGATGAATTCTGTAGTTACAGAATATTTGGATTTCAGCAAGAGAACTGACAGTCTTTTACACTCTTTTTGTGGGCAATACACAAAGACGTGTTCTAGATGATAGAATAAAACTGGCTAAATGACTGAACTCAAAGAGTAGTCACTAATAGTTCTTTCAACATAAAAGGAGATTTTTAATTAAATGCTGTCAAACATTTTTATCAACAAATTGAATAAAAATAGTATGGTTATCAAATTTGCTTATGACCTGAAACTAAGGGGGATAGTTAACACATTGAATGATAATCAGGATTCAAAAAGATCTAAACAGGCTAGAATGATGCCCTCAATCTTTCTGCCTTATCTTCTATGACTCTTGTACATGCCACAGATTCACAGAATAGGAATTGGAAATGAACTTGGAGGTAATCTAGTCCAGCTGGTACCTGAACAAGAAAGAATCCTTTCTACAACTCTGATAACAATTGGCCATTCAGGCACCAATGGAAGACCTCCAGAAATAGGGAACCTACTGACTCCTGATAGAGCCTTTTCCACTTCTGGACAGCACTGATAAAAAGTTTTTATTTGCATTGAACTGGTCTGTCATTCTGTAACTTTGCCCTGTTGTTCTTGGTTCTGGCCTCTGGAGCCAAGCAACATAAATATAACCCTACTTCCACTTGTCAACACTACAAAATCTCTCACCTAAATCTTCTCTTCTTCAGGCTCCAGTACCTAGAACAATTCCTGAACTTAAGACAGTGGGTTCTCAACAGATGCTTGTTGGATTGAATTGACTCAGTATCCCTAGTTCATTCAATCAGTCCTATAGTCTTTAGTCCCCTCACCATCTTGTTCAACTTCCTTCTTTTCAACGGTCTTCTTAAAATATGGTGCCTACAACTGAACTCAGTATTCCACTCATCTGACCACATACCTGACACACACACTTTCTCCTTCACTCCCCATTCCCACCCCGAAGTCCTTGTGTTGCTGGCCAGAATAAAAGCATCCCACACAAGCCAATCCTCCCCTACTAAAGTGGCCCATACTCTAAAGTTTTGTCTTCCCCAAATAAGAAATTCCATTCTCTGTGTCAGAAACATCCAAGGGGACAATTCTGCTGAGGCAGACGAAATAATTCATACTTCTTGTTGCTCAGTCATGTCTGACTCTTTGTGACCCTGTGAACCATAGCGTGCCAATATTGTCCATGGAGTTTTCTTAGCAAAGATACTGGAATAGTTTGCCATTTCTTTCTCCAGCGGATTAAGGCAAACATAAGTTAAGTGATTTGCCCAGGGTCACATGGCTGATTGTCTGAGATCGAACTTGAACTCAGATCTTCCTGGCTCCAGGCCCAGTTCTGTCACTGACTGAGCCACCTAGCTGCCTAAGTTGTGAAAAATGATATAAAGTTTAAAGCATGCCTTCTGAGGAGGAAGGCTAGCTGTGTATGGGGGGGGGGGGGGGAAGAGTGAGGAAGAGCGATATTTCTAAGCAAGGAAAGAAGAAGCCCAGTCCTGTTTTCTTATTTCAGGCCTTTACTTTTCCTAAATCTCCACCCACCCCACTGCCCCCGGCAGTAATATCGAGGAGCGCTTAGGAATCACGCTTTGGAAAGTTTTCAGAGAAAGCCAAGTTTTCAAGTCTTGGACCTATGATGTTAAGCCCCACAGCTTCACACTCCTACACCCCACAACTGAGGAAGAAGGAAAAAGAGAGGAGTTAGGGAGGTGTATATATCATCTCTTCAACTGCTGTCTTCTACCCCCTTCTGTCCCTCTTTTTCAGTCTCTTCTCTTCTCCCCTTCTCGTAAAGATCTCTAAGTGCTCTGTACACACAGGAGCCAAGCGTAGCTTTCCCAGAGTCCCACAAGGAAAAAGTGAAATCTTGAGAGCAGAGTAAAACTGTATGCAGGCGACCTGGCTCCCAATGCTCATATCTCCATCCTGGCTCCTGCTGAGAGGGCTACGTCGTGGGCTGTAGCCTGGTCGGGAGCTCCTGGGCTGAGAGCTTCAAGGCAGCACCCAAGGGAACCAGCGCCCTGCGCTCGGCCCCGCCCCACCCCACCTGGCTTTGGGTCCATTGGCTGGGCCCTTCCCCGACCCACGCCCATTGACTGGGACAGCCTTGGCTAAACGCAGGCGCAGTGAGGCAGCTTCCACCGTCGCTTCAGCACCAGAAACCGGACAGCGGCGCCGCCCACGGGCATGGAGAGCCAAGACAGCAGCGGCCCTAGCCAGGGTCCGGGCCCAAGCTCCGCATCGACCCCTGGCCCGAGGGCGGAGCAGCCTCCCGAAGAGCAGCACGTGGCCCTAGACAGTAGTCCCCTAGACAGGTAAGGCAGACCATGACCGAACCCAACCTCCCACGTCTTCATGAAACCTTTCCCACAACCTGGACATCTGCCGGCAGCCTTCATACATTGTCTTCACCCTCCCCATCGCCGTGGCCCCCTCCCATAGTTCTCCCTCATCACTACCACACGCTCCTCCGTGCCATTCCCCATACACACCACTCCCTCATTACTCCTGCATGTCTTTCCCCAATCTCAACATTCCTCCCTGCCCCCACCTCCATTGCTGTCCATCTTCCTTATCCCCGACCCTGTGGCACTGACCTATGTGCTTCATTCCTGGCTCCTAACCCTTCTCTGGTCCCCCAGTTCCAGCCTACCCTCTCCCACCTCTGTCACTCCCAGCTCTTTATACCTTGCCCTGCATCTCCTCAGGAAACACATCCATCCTCTATGACCATCTGTCAGGGGATGAGCTTGTGATTGTGTAGAGAAGTGTGTGCGTGTGAAATGTAACACTGGGGTGTGCCTTTGGGTCCTCATCTATGAATGTCTGACTATTGGCCTTTGTTCATCATTTTGACAAGTTGCATGTCCACATGTATACTTGTAATTTTGTTTGCTTGAGTCTCTGCCCCACCTATGGCAGTCATATACACAATGTTGAGCCCAGGTAGGCAGACTTAGGGTCTCAGAACTGTACCTGGCACTGGGGGAAAGAATCACTGCTCTGGAAATGAGCGCAGTGTTCACAGCACAGAGAAGCAAATCTACAACTTGCTTTGATGATTAAAGCCAACTGTGCAGCCATTCCCTTCACATCTGATTATTTCATGTGTATATGACCAGATCTCCCTAAAGGCAGAGTGGACAGTAATATATACCATATAGTCATAGGCCCCGGAAAGGTCTTACTTTTTTTTTTTCCAGATATCACCTTCTGCCATGGTACTGCCTTCCTTTCCAACCTGAGAAGAAATTAGACTCACTCCTTTGCTCTAGACATCAAAGGTAGAGGCCTTGTCTCTAGAAGGCCACTGTTAAATCACACATCTGTTACCTGGGAAGGGGAAAATAGGCAAGGGTGGGGAGAGAAGAGACCTGGCAGACTATTACTACATTTTTTTTCTGGATTAGTTTATTATGTTATAAAGTTGTTGCCTTGAAAGGCATAAAAATCCTGTCCTTGAGAGAATGGATGAAAAGTAATACAATAAATACTATATTTGAGCTTGCACTATATGAAACACCCTCTGCTAGGCACTGTAAGAAGTACAAAGATGAATAAGACAGTCTCTTCCTTCATGAACAGTTTATCAAGAAGGAAAAACACTAAACAAAAACTATATAATACAAGCTAGCTTGTGAAAATATAGTAAGAAAAATGTACAATGTCCTTCAGAAAAAGGAAAAAGAAATACAGAACAAGTAAGTTTTGGTGATGGGGGAAAGAACCTTCAAGTCTCCCTTAGGGAGAGTGAGAAGAAGGGGTCAGGGAGATGGCAATCACAGGACCATCTGATCTTACACAAGACAGAAATTGTTGTTATTGTCATTTAGTCATTTCAGTCATGTCTGACTCTTCATGACTCCTTTTCGGAGGTTTTCTTGGCAAAAATACTGGAGTCATTTTACCATTTCCTTCTCCAGTTCATTTTATACATGAGGTACTGAGGCAAATAGGGTTAAGTGACTTGCCCAGGGGCACACAGCTAGTAAATATCTGAGGTAGATTTGAACTCAGGAAGATGAGTCTTCCTGACTTCAAGCTCTGAATTCTATCCACTTTGCCACCCAATTGCCTACCCCAAGACAGAAATTAAGAGGTGATTATTTGCATTACATAAAACCCCACATTTCACTCTATTTCACTACAGGGTCTTTAAAAACAGCTCCTCATGAATTTATAATTATTCAACTTAAGGGGAAAACAAAATATTTTTACACATTTCAATTCCATAAGGTTTGGTTCCATCCAGTGCTTAGCATAATGCCTGGCACACAGCAGATGCTTAATAAATATTAATTGATTGAGCAAGTAAAATATAGCTGTACACCCATCATTCCCCATCTAAATGAGTAGATAGGTAGCATAATGGAAAGAGTGATGGACTTGGAGTCAGGAAGACAATGACTGTTAATCCTTTTGGTTTCTGGGCTGAAGTCAATGTATATGGTATTCCTTCCCCCATTCATCTGCCTGCTGGATCTCTCCAAGACAGGCAGGCAAAACCAGGAAATTAATCATCACAATCAGCCTTAGGCTTCTTTCCTGGGAACTCAGAGGGCAAGAGGAGATCATCCTTCTGAGGGTGAAGAGGCTAGTGTAGTTAATTCTTATTATTACTGGATCAGGTCAAATGATCTGTGGGAGCAGGAGCTAGGGAACAGAGGAGTTTTGGTTTGAGAAAGATTTTCCTTTGAAAAGGGTGGAATTTGACTCTTTTAACATGGGAAAGCAGAGGAAGAACAGAAGGCTTGGCTCTGCTTCCAGTCGATGATGGCTGGGTTCTCAAATTCTCCCAGATTGGGAGTATTAGGTACATCCAGGAGCTGCGGTTTCTGGAGAAGGGAAAACAGAGCATTAATTTCTTCACTCCTCAATCCCCTATCAGGGATCAGAATAAATGGAAGAAGTTAGGAATATCAGGAATAAGAGGAAAAGATACTTTTTGAAGTTCGGATCTAGGTAAAACCTGACAGGAAAAGAACAAAAGAGAGAAAGAAAAAAAGGTGAGGGGGACAGCTAGGTGGCATAGTGGATAGAGCACCTGGCCCTGGAGTTAGGAGGACCTGAGTTCAAATCCGGCCTCAGACCAGACACTTGACACATAGTAGCTATGTGACCCTAGGTAAGTCACTTAACCTCAATTGCCTCCAAAAAAAAAAAAGTGGGACCAGGTGGGTTACTTATTACCGATTATAGAAATGAACTGAACATAAAGTTGCAACTTATCTCTTCCTCACACGGATGCTTGGACTCTGTCAGGGAGGTTCACTTTTTTCTGGGTACTGAAACTGAAACAATAACCGTGGTTTTCATGGAATTGAACCTGAGTAGAAATCCTTTAGACATCACTCTCCATTTTTCCTTCTACTTGCTCCCTACTAGTGATATCATTGGTCCTCTTTGAGAATGAAGGACAAACAACAACTATTCCCTATGTGCCAGTTAGATTTCTGATCTTAAAGAAGACAGTTGTCTTCCATCACAGCCTGGGAAGGAGAGAGGGGGGTCTGCACTCAAACTCCTCCCCCTAAGAATAGAACACATTATCTCTAAGCCTTCTGTGGTCAACAGTGTTAGTCACCTTTTCACCAGAAAGATAAAAATGAGTTCATCTTTTATTTTCTACCTATTTATTCGGTATTTGGACAGAACACAGCCTCTCCACATGCTGCCTCCTTCCTTCTCTCCCTTTGCCCACCCTTCCTCCCATCCCATTCTAACCAGAACCCTGGCTCAGAGTCTTTCCAGTACAGCAGCAGTGTTGCCTTTGGAATAAGAACCAGAGCAAGTTCATTCAAGGGATCTGGCCACCCCACAAGTCAGGGAGGCCTCCCAGCAGTGCTAAGAAAGAAACTCTTCCAGACCAGTCTAGTTCCAATGAGGTTTCCTGCAATCCCTGCAATCAGTGTATATCATGCAGTCCCTCCTTGTTTCTTTTCAGCAGTCCACTTATCTCTAAATGTTGATAAGTTCTCATGCCTGGTGGGCAGGGGCTGTCTCCAAGCAGTTTCTAGCACAGTTCTGCCCATGGCAGTAAAAAAAAAAAAAATGACATTTGCTGATGCTACTTCTTCTGAATCTCCCTGAATCCACTCAGTTTAATGAATTTATTGGACTAAACCTGTGATTTCATTTGCATAAGAAACTATTGGTGAGGAAAATCCCTCTACTAATACTGATGGGCATTGGTTCTGCAGTCTGTCTATCTATCTATCTATCTATCTATCTATCTATCTATCTATCTATCTATCT